TAGTGATCCTCTTCCCTTTTCGGACCATCCTGGATCCTTACGGCTTCTCCAAAAGATACAATGATCCAAGTTGCACAATTACGTTGCGTGGACACACACAGAAATTCGCACGTGACTAATGGTTGGTGACGGTCAACGCGGAACTAACTGCCCTGGGTCAGTGTCACGGGCACTAACCACAGCGCGAATTCCTGCCAACAGAGACGACCTCTGATTGGCGGAGATTTTGGCATATCAAGCGTTGGCTTCGATGGCGCCGCCGAATGATTTCGGGGAATTTAAGATTCAACTCTAATTTTTCTCTACATAACTTTATAACTAAAATGGCGGTTATTCTGGACCAAACTGGTGGACGTTCGGAAAATTACTGAAGGTTTTTGGCGCCTCCTACGGGTCGGTTCTCCTGGATTTACGGGGTTAAAAGACCGATACTCCTAACTAATTCTCCTAGTTTTTCAAAACTCTAAGTAACCTGGCAATTCACGGGATACAAGGGTTGCATTTGTTCCACGTGACCTTCCACCGAAAAGCTAAAACGTAACCATTTAACCGCCGTAAAATCCATGATAATTTGGAGTGCCGGTATTTCAGCCGGACCTAATCGATTTGCCGTAGGATTAACAATAGGGGGGTACCCATAAGAATTATCGGATGACTCATAACTTGGCCCTTCTTCGCGATAATTCCATGGGCCCTCAAAAACGCATAATTATTCCGGTCTTGAGACCAAAAAAATGATATTACAGAAACAAAACCTTGAGACACAAATTTAGCCACACCATGGCGTGGAAATCCCAAAACCTCATTGTCGCCCCGAGGATTGGACTTCTGACCACCCCGGGGTGGAAAAGCGAAACTCTCTCTCTCTCTCTCTCTCTCTCTCTCTCTCTCTCTCTCTCTCTCTCTCTCTTCCCCGACCGCTTCATGGAAAATATTTGTACACAATTGCTGTTTTTCTGTTTTTCTGAGGGATCGGATCCACTTCCCGGAAGTCTGGGCTTAGCAGGCCTGCAAGAATGAGCTGGATTCTCTGATAATCAGGAAGATTGCGGAAGCTCACATGGGGAATCTGGCTACGTCAATTCCTCTGGCTCCGGCAGGATGGCTGATGATTATCAACGAATCCTACATATTCCTGACCAGGAAGAGCTGGATGCTTCTGACGGGGGTAAGCGCTGAGGGTCTATACGGCGTGGGGTCCATCACCTTACCCCCACTCGGATGGCGGCATGAAGGATAAGTGTGTGTATTTGTGTGTGTGTGTGTTTTTATAGAGGTTTGAGGGAAATCTTCAAAAGATTCTGGTAAAGTGATGGTAAAAACCAGTTCTGAGATTTTTAGTCAGTAAAACCCTCTTTCCTCTTGTCTTTTCACCCCATACTCCCCGCGGGACCACCGGCAGGCACTACTTCATGGGGGGTCATCAGCTGCTGCTCTTCCTCTCGTCAAAACGCTGGGGCGTACGTCCTCCTTCCTCACTCAGATGTTGATAGTGGGACGGAGGTTCCGGTAACTTCTCCTCCTATACAGCTTTTTTCCGACGGCGCTCTTCCTTACGGAGCTCCGTCATGACTTTCGCCGCGAAGTCGCTCGTTGCGTCCCAGGCTGCCTTCGATGACAGCGTTGCTCCCATCAGGTTCTCAGGCAGGATCGGTCTACCAAGTGCACTCTCCCACTCTAAGCGGCTCGTTCTGAAACGTGAACAACTCTGAGGACATTCAGTCGGTAAACAGCTGCCACTTTGCGTCGGGTCTCTTGTACTCGGAGCGCATCCGCCCAAACGGTAATGCCGTAGGTGAGTACTGATGTAATCACCGATGACAATAACGCTCATCTTCTCTGCTTGGGACTTCCAATGTTGGGCAAGAGGTGTGATCAGGCCGCTCGAATCCCAGATGCTTTGGTAGTAACGTGTTCCACTTGCTGCCTGAAGTTGAGCCGGGTATCGATCATCACCCCCAAGTACCGCATATACGGCTGGGACGTGAGCTCATAGTCCCCGACTTGCAGCGTGATTGTCTCTCAGACCTTAAAATTGTTTCTCCTACTGCTCCAGGCCATTTTAACGGTTCTCAGCAAATTTACTCCCCAAATGAAGTTAAAAACACAAACTTTTCATTTTTGCCAATGTTTCGAGCGGTATATCCACTCCTCATCAGGGCAATTTTATTTCATTACTCTCAATTTGAAAACATTAAATTATTCCAGGAAGTCTCTGAGACCTCCCATTATAATGATACAACAAGCAGTAGGAGAAACAATTTTAATTACAAAAACAGTTGGAGAATTAATTCCAATGTCTCTAAGACCTTACTGCTTGTAATCAACACGGCCTCCGTTTTATGCTCAGCCCGGCTCAGGCCAACTGAGTCCATCCAACGGCGAACCACCTCGAAAGTCATTTCGAAAGCAAGTTTGATGTCCTCACGGTGTTTTCCCACGATCACTACGGCCACGTAATCGGCAAAAGCCACGAGACTCACATCGAGTGGCAGACTTAGCTTCAGCAGGCCATCGTACATATACTTCACGTACATACTTCATGAGGGGGACATCAGCTGTTGCCCTTCCTCTGTTCAAAACTCTGGGCCATACGTCCCCCTACCTCACTCAGATGTTAGCGCGAGGGGGAGGTTCCGGTAGCTCTCCCTTCTATACAGCGTTCTTTCGACGGCACTCTTCCTCACGAAGCTTCTTCATGACCTTCGCCGCGAAGTCCTTCGTTGCGTCCCAGGCTGCCTGTCATGACAGCACTGCTTCCACCAGGTTCTCAGGCAGGATCGTTCCATCAAGTGCAGACTCCCACTCCGAGCGGCTCGTTCTGAAACGTGAACATACAAAAAACACATGCTCTGCGTCTTCTTCAATACCCGGGCACGTCGGGCAATCCGGGGAATCCTCATGTTTGAATTTATGAAGATACCCTCGGAAACACCCATGTCCTGAAAGCAACTGTGTTAAGTAGTAGTTTATCTCACTATGTGCACGAGTTACTCAAGCACTTACTTGTGGGATCAGGCGATACGTCCATCTCCCTTTCGGAGAGGTGACCCATTGGGACTGCCATCTATCCATGCTCTTACGTCTCGTCTCTGCCTTGAGCTCGGTTGGGCTCAGTGAGGTCCATCTTTTTTGCCGGTACCTTCGTTCCTCTGCTAGTACTTCAATCCGCATCATTCCGGCTATGACACACGCGGCATCATCGGATACAGTGCGAAATGCGGTGGCGACTCTAAGGGCACTTAGTCTGTCAACAGCTGCCACTTTGCATCGGATCGTCTACTATCCTCCGAAGGTATTTAGGCATACCGAACCTCTCGAGGGCCTCCATAATGCAGTCCCATCTGGCTGAGTTGAAGGCGTTCCTGATGTCCAATGTTGCCACTGAGCAGTATTTCTTCGTACCCCTGAACTATCTTTTCCCTAAAATCGCTTTTCTAGCTGCATCAACAACCAGATTGATTGCTTCAAGGGTGGATCTACTTCTCTGAAAGCCGTACTGGTTGTTGGCGAGCAATGGTTCAACTACTGCTTCTATTCTCCTGTGAACGATGCGCTCGATTATCTTACCAGCTGTATCGAGCATGCAGAGGGGATGGTAGGATGAAGGTTCATCTGGTGATTTTTTCCCTTTCGGGAGTAGCACCCGTCTCTGCTGCTTCCACTTTGTAGGGAAGGTGCCCTCACTGAGACACTCATCCACGTCTAGGAATAGGCCCCGCAACGCATGGATAGCGGCTTTCAGCGCAATGTTAGGAATCCCATCAAGCCCGGGGGCCTTTGTATTCCCGACCCTAGCGCACGCCTCCATCAGCTCATCCTCAGTAATTGATGGGACCAAGTATTTTCCTCGTCTGTCGGCACGCTGAAATTCCGGTTGTTGTAGGAAAAGTACCGTGACGATCTTCTCCCAGAGCTCCGGGCACGTTGGCGATGGCATGGGATGGCCTTTGAGCCGCGACATCACCAACTTGTATAGTTTGCCCCACGGAGCACCTTCCACTTCAGCAGTCAGCTCATTCCAGGAATGTGCTTTGCTGCGCTTGATAGCCTTGTTGAGCTTATGACGCGCCTTCTTATACCTCATCTCCAGTTCAGAAAGTTTGGTTTCTTTCGGCGGCGCTGAGATGATCTTCTTGCCGCATTACATTCCTTGCGCAGATTCGCGATGGTATCATTCCACCAATATACTGGTGGCCGGCGATTGATAGCTCGCTTCCTAGGCATGGTGGCGTCGCATGCTTCCGTGAGTCTTCTCATGACGTTCTTTGCCTTCTCAGTAGCATTATTGCCACTGATTGGGCTATCGTCCATGGCCACTAAATAGAAGTTAGGATCGAAGTAGCTCACTTTCCAGCCTACTGCATTGGTGCGCGTCCGCGTCTCTGGCGGATGAAAACCTCCCAGAGTATCTCACGGTGGTTACCTGTGTATTCCGATTCCGATTACCTCCCACGAGCAGTTTCCTCTTGTAAGGCTGCTGCTCACGAGGGTAAGATCCACAATTGAGCTCGCGTTTCCTCTCATGAAGGTCGGTTCCTCACTTCGGTTGACCAAGACCAAGTCCAGCGATGACATGGCTTCAAGTACGGCTTGTCCTTTGGGCTTTATCTGCTTATTTCCCCAGTCGACTGCCCAGGCGTTGTAGTCTCCGGCGATTGCTACGGGAAAGTGCTGCTTCACATCCTCAGTTAGTCTATCCAAGAAGTCGGTGAAGTCATCGATCCAAAGGCTCGGCGGGGCGTAGCAGCTGTAGATATATATTCCATCAACCTTCACCCTCACAAAGCCGTACTCATTGCTACTGGTGGTGCTCTGGAAAGTTCGATTCCTACAAGCCAAGATGACAGCCTTCTTACTGGTGTCAGTAACCCAGGATTGGGTGCCAAGATGTCTACATGGCTCTGAGATGCAGACCAGATTGACCTCCCTCTCCCGCACCGTCTGCATGAGCAGATCTTGTGTGGCCTCACAGTGGTTGAGGTTGAGCTGTAGTACTCTCATTGCCGTCTGCTGGTAAGCTTCTGGATCGCCTCCGTATATGCTGGGCATCTGCTGCTACCAGCAATATGGGCACCGTTCTCAACGCCCCCTTTTTCATCACACAGGGTACATCGGGGCTCCTTCCTACATTTTGCAATCTTGTACCCAAGATCAGCATATCTGAAACACAGTTTCGATCTATCGACTTCCCTCTTGCATTGAGTGGCGAGATGGCCATAGCGCCAGCACTTGAGGCACTTTATCGGCCTGTTCGTAGCGCTAATGCGGCAGTTGACCCAACCTATCCGGATCTTGCCTTTCTCTTCCAACTTCGAGGCCACGTCTGTGGTGACTCTGAAGATCGCTCTCTGCGTTCCTCCATAGGCCTTTCGAAGAGTCTTGATGGCACTCATGGAGATGTTGAAATTTATACCATCTTGCTTCTGGATAGCTTCCCAGATTTCCTCTTTCGTGGTGATCTCGTCCAAGTCTTTTATTTCCATTTCCACTTCTGGAATTTTGCTCACTACCTCTGAATCGTCCTTGAGGACGTCTGCCATGGCCGCTTGTAGGTGAGATGCACTTTAATGAGGAGTGGGCCAGTTTTCGTCCGGCGTATCTTGTCTGCGCAGTCTCCGGAGTCTCCAACCTCCTGTTTCACTTTGCGGAGGATCTCAGCGTAGCTTTTTCCCTCCGCTGTGAGGAGCAACGCATCTGAACGAGTTTTAGGCCGAGATGCTTTTTTCGCCCTTCTGCCCTTCGTCACCTTCTGCCAGGCTTGCGGCTTATCCGGTACCTTTCGATGAGCAGGCGGCGAATTGTCTTTCGGCTCTCGTCTCTGCTCCTCCCGAGTTTCCCGGATTTCTTCGGACACGTCTCCTTACTTCCGTCGTTTCCGAGACTTCTTCATCTCGGCTGACGGCGGTGTAGGGGTGGACTGCTTCTTCCTTTTGCCGTTCGCCAGGTCCCTGGACATAGGAGTGATATCCCCTGAGGTGTTCTTCAGTACGCAAGAGTAAGTACGAGTGAGCGATGGTGCTGTTTGTGAACCTTCCTCTATTACGGTGGTCGGTTCACTGACCTTTTCGAGGACTACATCCTCTATCTCCCGCAGTCTGGCCCACTTCTTGTACTTGCTCAGCGTCGCATTAGCTAGGCTGGTCAACTCAGCGTGCAGGTTCTTCTTACTCCTAATAAATGCGTGTATCGATTCGATGGCTTTCCCCAGCTCTTCGAGCGATACTGACGTGTTCTGTCTAGCCGACAGGGATTCCTCGTATTTGAGTGTATCCCGGTAATCCGAGTCCTACGGGGATCGCTCATTTCCACTTGTAGCATGTGAGGCCAAGTGGTCCACCTTTGTTCCAATAAAATGATGATTGGCTCCTCCCATATCCATGGAGCCGGCACCAGCATTAGCGCTGATGGCAGGATTCTCCCTCAGAGGGCTACCTGCATGAGAACTCTATTTTATCATCCCTCATCATGGGTCTACGCGCTGTTATCGGGAGCCTGACCCGGGGGTGTTCTAGGGAGCCCACTCTGCACACCTCTTTTAGAGTTGGGTTTCTTGAAAGGTATTGATTCGCGCCGACGTATTTTATTTAGTCGATACCCTATATTCTGAACGGCAGTTCAGAATATCGAGATATTGCCATTAACTTGGTAGTAATCGGCATTTTTCGTTTTCTTATAACATCAGTGTAGGCACGATAACTCTCGAAAAAATTGAGTTAGAAAGCTGAAATTTCGTATCCTTGTTACTCTTATAGTACTACAAGCTGGTATTGTGGAGGGGTAAAATCGGAGAGGTAGTTAAGGAGATATTCAACTTTATGTGAAAATATGTTTTGCTCAATATCCCCTAAACTACTGGTCGGATTGAAATTTTTTTTTCAAAATACTCGTTTCGATGTTCTTTATCTAGATCAATTGAAATATATATACCCATTCATCCAAAATTTTCGAGACATTTCCAATTTTGGATTTTTGCCTAAAGTCTTTGTACGTGCGATAACTGAGAACAAATTCGAGATAGAAAAGCAGAATTCCCTAACCCAAGATGATGATAGTTATCTATTTACGTTGAGGCTCCATTAGAGTGGAAACGTTTCATAAAAAAAAACATTCATACAAAACACCCACCCTATCACAGGGACAGGGAATGTGATATATATTAAAACCATTGCAAATTCTCGAGAATAGTACATTTTTATGCCACGCTGTGCGATAAGTCAAGTTTAAAGCACACTGCGCTTTGCGCAGCCTGCTCGAACCTCGATTTCCGTACGATGTGGCATAAAACAGTATAGAACACTCGGAGGTAAATCCCATTTTCAACGAATGTGAGTACAGACCTCACCTTCGGCTCGGCCTGTAAACTTCACATCCATCGAAAACGGAATTTCACACCTCGTACTCTAATATACTATAACCTAGGGAATTAAAATAAAGGAGTCGTCCCCACATGCAGAATTAAACAAAGCGGAAACAAAATGTGTACGTTGCGCCCGCCGGAGATAAAAAGATGTTGGTTTCGAATTAGTAGCCCCATTATTTTTTGGTGACATTGTTGATGTCTAATCTGAATGTTTTTTATCCAACTCGTAGATATCAAATTCATTCTTGCTTCCGAATGCAAGCAGTGCAATCCTTCGATAGTCAAATTCTCTAATTTTGATTGGAAATGATGTAGAATAGTCTGAAACGTGAAAATACGAAGTTTGGTAACAATGTCTGTATGTGACCATGGCCACTGCCACTTTCCCGGTGGCTCAATTATTCATTTTTTAGAAAATTGAGTAATTAAGTGGCTAAAGTAATTCCAAAAAATCTGAAATTTTGTCAGATTATACATCTTAATGAATACTAACTCTTTGCAAAATTTTAGCCCGATCAATCCAATAGTTTTTGAAAAAAACGATTCGTTTTTAAATAGTTTTCGGCAAATATCGTCAAAACTAGGGGACCGATTGCGATTTTATTAGTTTTCTAAATGGTCGCTTCGACGCCTTCTATTTAAATCAATCAAAAACATGAATACTCGTCCATACAAAGTTTTTGAGATATTCCCATTTTTCAATGAAAAACTTTGTAAACACTCCAGCTTGTGCAAAAATCGAGATATCAACTCGAAATTTGAACAGAATCTTTCGCTCATGATACCAATGTTTCGTATTGAAGATGGGTTTAATCGCATTAGTATTTTCAGAGATATTTGACTTTTTCTGAAAATCTGTAACATGGAATATCTTCAAAACTATGCAACCATTTCACTTTGTTTTCAAAATATTCATTTCGATGCCTTCTGTGTAAATCAATCAAAATATATATTCCAGTTTATACAAAGTTTTCAAGATATTCGCGTTTTTCCGTTTTTTCATAGAAAACTTTGTAAACACTCTAGCTTGTACGAAAATCGAAACATCAATTTGAATTTTGAAAAGAAAATATGTATACCTACTCATATGAAGTATTCGAAACATTGGAATTTTAATAGTACCCATGGAGGTGGCAGCAACCATCTGAATTTTTTGCTGTTAGTTGGTGTTATGAAGCTATAAACTCTTGTAATATTTCAGACCATTCGGAACCCATCATTAATGTATTGAGGGCGAATAAAAATGAGATATCACTCATGGACATGCGCACTGTCATATGGCGCGCTGTCATGTGCTCACTGTCCCCTGCTCGATTAATTGGGCAGCTTCTGTCTAGGAAGATTAGTTGGCTCGTGGCGCCACTAGTCTTTCGTATTTTGAACTTGGGCGCGAGACCGATGCGAAAATTTTTTAAAATTGCGCGTTGATCTCGAAATTGAATCATTTTACGAAGAAATGGCAAAAAATATTCTTTTCGTGTCACGGGACCTGAAAATTAATATACCCCCCTCGCCATGGAAAACATATCGCCCTCCCCCACGTGCTTGTCATCCTCGCCTTCGGCTCGGAAGGCAATGTTGCACGTAGGGGACGGTGAACTCTTTTCCAAGGCTCGGGCACGTAATATACTATTATTGCTTCTAAAATTTGCGTCGAAAAATAATCTTTGAAATCTTCCTTTTACGATATAAGTGAAGGTATGTATAATGAAAAAATCTGTGTATTACTTTTTCCCAATTTCAGGACGAATTTTTTCATTTTCATTTCTGCCGTTGGCTGTTACGATGATCCCAGTCTGAAAATTTCGTAGAATTTAGAAAAATGTATAAAGACGATGGAATAAAGAAACATTTGAAGGATGAGCCGGTATAATTGGAACACGATTTTGAAGGGTTAAACTTTCTTTTCATATCGTTTTCCTGAAAGCTGAGACTTTTTTTACATATGCTTGATTGTTTTCAGATTTTTCGGAACAATCTCTGGTAATTTGAAAAATCAATATTGAGAAAGGAGTTCAAAAATCGAATATGGCATATAGGCTTCATCATAGCTCCCAAAAATTAAAAAAAGAATTCAGGACTGCTTTTTTTTACTAGTATATACTTCTGAACAATTGCATTTCCGAACTTCTTGGATCATACTGGGTCCATGTAATACCAACGATCCAAAACTTGAATTTGAATGATTACAAAGCTACCATTCGGCACCAAAAAATAAAAAATACAAAAAAAAAACACTGCGGAGTGCAATTAAATGGATTCATTCAAACTAACTACATTGTCTGCTTGATGTTCAAAGAGTTTTTTCAACAGTGTATTCAAAATAACTTCGTATTAAACTATTGTGGTAGTTCAGGAAAACGGCTTTATTGCATCCAATTCAAAAAAAATTGGGCACCAGCTTCAGTAATTTTGTTATAGGGATATTCCTTGTATTTAATACGAAAAATTAGTGTATTTCACAACGGAATTTCCAGTGCTGACATCTGATGTATTTGGGGTACGTTCCCGAGTCGAAAAATTGATCGTTCCGAATCTTCCTGGTGTTTTCCAAGTCGCTCCAATTTTTCAATATATCCTTAACGACATAGGAAGGCACACGGAAGACTATAGTCATCTCATCCTCGATGGCCATAAAAATGAGGACGACAAGATTCGTCCAAATATCGCTCCGATGTTGTAGTTATTGGACTCATGAAGACCAAGGAAGATTTGAGGAAGACAAGAATCGTTCCCTACCTAGTCTTCATTTTTGGGGTATCGGTCAGTATGTCTGTCCTTGTCTAACTTTTATGGCTAGGTAGCGTAGGTTCTGGCGGGCGAGTAGGGGGGTGGGCAAGGGAGGGGCTATACCATTTTTTGTTTGTATAAAACATTAGAACAAATTAAAAATATTCGATTCATTTTGGAAATTACAAAACTATAGATTTATAGATGTTATAAAAAATGATTATACATTTTAACAAAATTTAATTATATTATATATGCTTGAGTAATAATTTCACTCACTGGAGTTGCATACCACTATTATACATATTGACAAAAATTATTGAAGCTTCCATGGTACCCAGGCGTTGGAGGGCACCAACGAGACTTTCCCCATTCGATTCAAATGTCTTGGATTTGAATTCTTCGGAAAAAGTGATTGAATTCTCATCATCTCGAGATCTATCTGATGAT